CTATATTATTTTAATATGAGATATAGTTTGCTATTTTGTGTAGTTTTTCCTAAAATATTTATGTATAATATAGAGAAATACGTGAGAAATGAAGGTGGGAGATATCAGATAAGGGTGTGATAATGGGGCCATAGGAGTCGAGATAAAGGTGAAGTGTGTATTTTTTTTTCTTTTATTAGTTTTTTATTCGGTATTCGACATTTATAATGGAGTCTGACTAATTTAAATTTGTATCACATAGAGCTTCATTTGGGAGGAAGTATTTCTTATCAAAAAATTTCTATATCTAGAATTCAAATTCAAAACCTCTTAACGGAGAAGCAATCTATCTACTTCATTATATCCTTTGATGACACATTTTCATCTTCTTATTTCCTTTTCTATGCTATTTTTTTGTTCAACTTCCTCCTCCTCTTTCATTTTCGTCGTCTTCATCTTCTTCTTCTTCCCTTTTTTTAAAAAAAAACTATTTTTTCTCTTATTCTACTAACTGTTTTTATTTTGGCTGTGAAGAATTTTTTTAAAAAAATTACGCCATAAATAAAATTCTATAGAAAATTCAACAAATTTTAAAAGTTTTTTGTAAAAATTAAAATTTGTTTGAATTGTTGCAACAACTTAAATATTATTGTCACAAATTTCAAGAGTCACCCCTACCAATTAAAAACACTCGAGTTACCTCTTATTAAATAAAGACGAAATGGTTTGATGCATTCTTGTATTTGTATGCGTTTGTATTCTGAATTCTTCTACTTGACCTTTTGTCAACTGAACTCTTAAACTCAATTAAAATGAGACTTTTAAAACCCTCCATGTGTGGAGGTCACTCTCTCTTACATAAATGACATGGCATATCCACGTCATAAATATTTTTAAATTATTAATCAAAAATGTTATTCCATAAAAGACAAAATAATAAATTTTCTAGTTACAAAAATAAAATAAAATAGTTATTTCTCTCACCTTCCCCCCACCTCCCTCAATCCACAACCACCGTTAACGCCATCTCCATTCACCTTTTTTTTTCTTTTTCAGGACCGTTATTGTCTATAGTCATGACCAGGCTCTTCAAGTTCTTAAAAATCATAATTCAATTTTTTCTCGAAGTTTCTAACATTCATAACTCTTAATTGCATTTTTTTACCAACGTTTAAATCATCCATTTGAACCAACATAAATTTCTTTTCTCCATTACTACCAATAAATCACCATTAAAATATCACGATGGATCACAATATTTGTACACAATTTTACATAACACATGTTACCTAATTTCACAAAGACATTCAACAATCACTTTTCATCCTTCAAGATTATATAATCTTTGTCACCTTATGGATTGTAAATAACCCAGAAAATGAAAGGAAAAACAGATCTTGTTTCTCTAGGAAGAAATAAAATATGAAAAAAGGAAAGAAAAGAGAAATTGGAGATGACTGGGAAGGGGAGTAAAAAAAAAAAGGGGATTGGATAGGAAAGAAGGTAATGGTAATTAGAGAGAAAAATAAATGAGGTGGGCTAGGAGGGAAAGAAGAAAGAAGTGATTTTTTTTAATCTTCTTTTATTTTTTGGTCTTTTTAAAAAAATATTATTTTTAGTCCAAAATTTGGAGTTCACGGAGCTCCTTCTACGCGTGAAATCACATGTTGGTGCCAACTCAATAATTAAACTGCCACATAAGCTTGGTCAATGATCAGAAGGGCTTAAAATATCGAGTTTCATTGAGTTTAAGGATTCAATTGACAAAGAGTCAAGTAGAAGGGTTCAGAATACAAACTCATACAAGTACAAGGGTCCATCAGATCATTTTGCCTTAAATAAAAGACCTAAGAGACAATTTTAGTTCAAAAATCCAAAGTACTCCCACATCCTAATATGTGGTATTTTTTTCTTTTTAGTCGGTCTGAAAATAATAATAATTTATTTAGTAACTTTTTAATGTTAAAGTACTTATTTTATATCTAATGAGATGATTTATACTCACACAAACATCTACGACCTATTTTAAATCATAAGTTCAATTCAAAGCTTCTTCTTTTTTTTAACTTTATATTTCATCAAATACCATCACATAAACTAGGACGGAGAAAGTAAGTGATAGCAAAAATGATTATTGTGTTTTTTGTTGACAGAATTTAAAACGGTTATGGTTAAAAGACTCTTTAAATTTGACAAACTTTATTAAATTAGTGCACACTTAAATCATGAAAAGTCTTAATGACCCCCTGTCCCCCTCAAACATGGATTTTTAAAACTATTTACCCTCCTAAACTATGAAAGGTCTTATTTAAACCCCCACCTATTTACCCCCTAATATGTCACATGGCACAAAAATATTATTTCGTCTAATTTACATGATTCACTTTCCTTTAAATCTCAAAAGGAATGACACGTTTCCAATTTAGTAAAAAATTAACTTGAAATTTTTTATTTTACTCCTGAAATGATTTATAGTCACTCAAATATTTATGACTTATTTTAGTCTAAATCTTTCTTAAATTTTATGTCAAGTCAAACTACATCATATAAGTAGGTGTTTGACCATGCGATTTCATATCATGATATGAAATCAACGTTTGGGCATGTGATTTCACGCTTATTTCATTTCATGTCCCAAATTCTCCAAAAATCATGATTTGAGAATTTCATATCATGAGATTTGGGATTTTTCAAATACAAAAATTGACCCACAAGTTTATATTTTGTAAAAAAAAAACACATTTATATCTACTAGTCATTTGTTCATATGTAAATAAAAATTTATAATTCATATCATTACTTTTTAAACCATTTATATCCCATATAACGATGATTATTATCACCAATATAAAATTTAGTATTACTTCTAATCAATTATTGTTTACCATTTATATACACCAAGTTCATTATTTTTTATCAAATTTATTACTACTTCATTCAAATCAACGTTTTATAAAAAATAATTTATCATCATTATATTGAGTGGACAAGACTAAGGCCGTTTGGATTGACTTAAAAAAAATAGTTTTTAAGTCAAAAATAAAAAGTCAAACTGAAATGACTTTTAAGTCAAAAAATAAAAAGTAGGGGGAGACCTACTTTTGGTTTCTGACTTATTTTAAGTCATTTTTGACATATTTTAAGTCATTTTTTACCTTGTCAAACACGTGGTAACTTATTTTAAGTCATTCTTGACTTATTTTAAGTTATTTTTTATATTTTCCAAACACTTTCAGAAGTCAAAAACTGACTTAAAAGTATGTTTGACCAACTTTTAAGCCAATCCAAATGGGCTCTAACTATTGTGGTAAGATTGTATTGAATTTATAAAATATAATTTTTCAATTTTTTTATTGAATTAAGATTTGATCGATAAATGTTGTATTTTTTAAGAATAGTTTTGTGATAGTGTATTGTGTGATTTTATAAACTTTTGTTTATTTGTAAGACTGTATAAAGAATTGAGACAATTTAAATATTTTTTACAACTTATGGGTTCATCTCATGATTTCATATTATGATCTTCTCGTTTTACGCCCTCGGATCACAGCCTTGACTTCACGTAAATCGAATGGCTTTGAAAACCACCCTTGGTCATTTCCTAGCTCCTAGCCTTCTTACTCATTCAACGAGCCTTTATTTTTCCTTTTGGGATCACAGACGTGGCATGTTCCTATTAGAAGGAAGTGTAGTGTTGAACAAGTAGGTGTAACTATTGAGTTCTACGGCGGTGAACTCAACATCGACAGTTATAATGATCTTGCCACTATGAACAAATAGGCTAGACATGCTCAATTGGGTGAAATTTTTGAATTAGATCGTGCTACTTTGAAATTCGATGGTGTTTTTCGTAGCAGTACAAGGGGTTGATTTACTTTTGGGCATGCTTTGTTTGCTTTGCTTTTCTTCTCGGACACATTTGGCATGGTGCTAGAACCTTGTTGAGAGATGTTTTTGCTGGTATTGACCTAGATTTAGATACTCAAGTTGAATTTGAAGCATTCCAAAAATTCATATCGCATGGTCAAACGGGCCCTAAATAGGAACATAAATTAATATTTTACTAAATAAATAATTGTGTTATTCCTTTTGAAATTAACTAAAAAGGAAAATGAGTCATATAAATTGGACTTTTTTATGTCGTGTCATATTAGGGGGTAAATAGTTTTAAAAACCCATATTTGAGGAGGTAATTAAGACTTCTCATATTTTAGATCTACATCTAATAAAATATGTCAAATTTAAGAGGGTATTTAATTATTAACTTTTATTTATTCATGTAGAATTATAGGACAATCAAAGATATCTGTATGTACTCTTTGCGAAAAGAAGTCATCGTTACATAATATAGTTGTCTATGATCCCAAAATTTCTTTAATTCGAACACGGTTTAGTTTATTTAGGTTATACCACCAGTTCATAGAAGTTAAACTATTTGTTTAATTATCCTACTATTATTCGATTAATACTTCATTTTCCTCATTTTGGGTAGGAATTAGCCTTCTGCTTTTTCGTTACTTTCTCTATCCCAATTTATGTGGCACAAATGATCCAGGAGTGTTTTGGACCCATAAATTTCAAAATCTTCTTTTCTTTCTTGAACTTTGTGTCAAGTCAAACAGTTCCACGTAAATTAGAACAAAAGGAGTAGTATAGTAGGTATCATTGCCACACATTAAAATTAGACACTACTTTGTTTAGGTTGCATGCAAGTTATTAATAAGAATTAAGCTCAAAATAACATGGCATTGCTAGAAAGAATCATCAAAAGCAAAACAATTGCAAGTAGCTACCAATAATTGTCAAAAAAAATAACAACTCTGAAAAAAGAGAAACAGTACAAGTTCTAGCCAGTGCCTCCAAGCACACCCTTGAGCTTCTTGATTTGTGCTTCATCAAGGAATGTTGTAGCCTCAACCAACTTAGTTGACAAGTCGTTGGCAAACAACGCGAAATCCGTGATTTGAAGGCCAGGATTGGAGCTACTAAAGAAGACATAAGCTACAGAGTTGAAACCAACTGCATTCACTTGAAAATGCAACAAACCTTGTGGGAATACCATTAGTTCACCTTTCTTGATTGTCTTCAAGTAAACAGTGTTTGCTGAAGAAACAAAAGCAGCTGTGATCGACCCTTGCACGACAAGCAGGACTTCAGAAGCACCAGGATGAGTGTGAAATGGTACCACACCACCAGGTGCTAAGTCGAGACGTGCTGCAGAGAGACCTAAACCATTTAGGCCAGGGAATTGAGCTGCAAATGCTGGTGACACTGATGCTTTGATGATGTTTGAGGTGTCTCCTGCTGCACTTAGACCGGAGAACACAAAGTCGTTCACCGTGACTTTGGTAACAGACTTGCAAGAGTAGCCTGCAGGGGACTCTGGTCCTTTCAAGTCTGCTACACAAAAGTCTTGTACAGAAGCATTGCTGCTCAAGATGAGGACAGCAAAGACAAATAGAAGTTTGAACATTTTCACTTGCTAGGAATGATGTTTATGTGAAAATATGTTATACTAAAGTTAGTGTGTATATATAGATAGATTCAAGTGAGTGATGAAAAATATGTCACTTGAATTTCTATAGGAAATGATGACAACCACAAGTTGTGTGATATGGCCTATCTTGATTTGAAGAAGTGAATACACCACAAAAAAAAAACTCCCTTCTAGCTAGAACACGTAAAGATATGGTACCTGGACAATAACTCAGCCCCAAAAGTTAGATCACGAGGAGAGGATTGAAAAAGTTCATATAAGCAGACCATCAATCCATTCCAATGTGAGACTTTTACCCGCTCTAACAAATCAGGATATGTTTGTTCATTTGTAGAGAGGTACTTTGAGATATTTTGTTCTATTTTTGACAGGAGTGGAATCCTAAATATAAATCATGTCTCGGATTGATAACACTATTTAGTTTGAGCAATATGTATGTTAGGACCGAAATAATCAAGTGTGATGGGGAAACTTACGAAGGAAATCCTGAATGACGACAAAATCAGACTATAAAACAGAAATATACTAGAGGAGACACAATTTTAACGTGGTTAAGTTAATTGATCAACATCCACGAGCAGAGATGAGTAATCATTGAGCTGATAAAATACACTTTGAGAAGGTTCACACAAAAAATAGCTAAGACTTTTGTCTAAGAAAATCAGGGCAAACAACTAACAATATAATGCTTGCATCTGGCTTGTGAATTACAATCCCAATGGTATAGTGCTACTTTCAGTTTTCTCTTCATATTTATTCTTGGTTTGAAAAAGATTTCCTCATATCTTGGTAAACTAAATACCATCATCATCTTTTCTTTCTCCAATGGTATTGCCATAAAATGTTGTTATTACTGTTAGATTATCAACAACAATTACGCCTCTGTCCCAAACAAGTCGGAGTGGCTATATTGATCCTCATTGTCCCATTTAAGCTCAAATCATGTAAATACTAGTATTAGATTACCAAAATATATATAAATGAATAAACCATTGCATAAACATGAATGTTTTATATGACAAAGGGTGCATTGAGTCAAGTGGTCCTAAAGGCACATGGTTAGAGAAAGTGACTAGTCTAAAAGAAGACAGAATGACAACTAGAAAACCCCAAAATTGTACTCCCTCCACCCCAATTACGTGGTACCGTTTGACTTGACACAAATTTAATGAAAGAAAGACTTTTGAAGTTTGTGATCTCATTTCACTAAGGTAAAATAAGAATTTTAAAGTTATTAAATTATTTTCAATTTATGGGAAGGTGACATTCTTTTTGAAACAGACTTAAAAGAAAAATGTGTCACATAAATTGGGACAGAAGAAGTAGAACTTCTTATATGTCCTTCAATTAGCTAAAATCCATGATAATTGGCAAGCTATTGAAACAGGAATAAGTGGACTAGAGTAATTACCCTTCCACAAAGGCTTTCAATAGTGCAAAATATGGTCACTAGTGCTTCATCATTGACACAAATGTCACTTCTACTGCAAAAGAATTCAAAAATGGATTTAGCATTGGTAGAGAGTTAATGTGTCCTTACCATGGAAGAACTAGGATAGGCCCATAAAGTAGCTTTCGATATCTACTTTGGGACTCCATTTAGCTGGATTCATGTTACATAAGGCCCCATTATAAGAGGAAGTGACACCCTAGCCTAGAAATCTGAAACCTCTTATTAAAAGTGAAGGGATTCGATCCATCATACCACAATCCTTGACAGATGGATATTGAACAAGAATGCAACACAAGGACTTTCCATGGGGTTAGCATAATGTAATACTCGATATCTAACTTTTGGAGCTCTTTTAACTGGGCACAATCAAACCCCAAAATAAAGATGAAAGTTACAAACAAAATTGAAATTACACACTAATGAAAGAGGATTGTTAACTTTACAGAATTAAAGGGTGACAATGGTGAGAGTTGAAAGGGACTCACAACTTTTCATACGAATATGACAGATATCCAAGTCTAAACTTTAAAGAGCTGGTGAATAGTCCATAAGGAAACTACTGAAGCACAATCAATAAGCATCAATGTAAAATCATACGAGTAGTTATATACTGAACAATCTACCGAAGAACACTCTGACTAATCATTGATGCCAGGTTTATATCTTACATACTATCTATTTACTCAGGTATGGAGGAGCTTTGAAGTGTTGTAGTGTAAACAACCAGGAGTTTTCATCCCCACGCCATGGAGCATGCATAATTAACCACCAACTTACCATCAAAACCAAAGTTCTGCAAACAAGGAGAGAATAGAGATAATATATCAATAATAAGATCTGAAAACAAAGTTAACAGTCTAATCAAGTTTAGTAACTAGACCAGCTCAAGAAAAGGAATGAATAGTCAATTTACCAATTTAGAGATTCAGACATAAACAAGGAGAGAAGAGACGAGGGAAAATAGGAAAACTCAAAAAGAAACATATAATTTTCTACCGATTGTCCATAAATTCATCAAGAGCTCATGTATGATGCTGAGTTGTTAAAATATGTTTTACTTCAAATAGCAAAGAGAACCCAAGGCAAAGAGAATTTAAGTGCATTCAAAAAGAATGATATATCGGTCTCTCTTTCACTGTCTAGAGATTGTGGAGTGTTGGTCGAAGAAGATGTTTGGTTCATACTGTACCAAATACTGAAAAAGATCAAGCTGTCATGTGAATTTGATTTTTGAAGTTTCAAAGACGGGTCAATAAAAGAAAATTTTATCATACGCCAAAAAACTATGCATGCATTGTTTTGTTACAAGAACAAAAACTACAAATGAAAGTAAAATGTCTGATCACCAAAGGACATCCATCCTAAAAACACCTGTACAAAACTAAAGCCTGGTGATAAAAAAGGGAATATTATCCAGCTTCCGGTCGAAGAAAATAGGGAAAAGAAAAAAACACTATATCCATCTTCCAGTAAAATGGATGTCAAACGAAGATAAAATGTCTGATCAGCAAAGGGCATACATCATGAATAATTACATGCAAAAATAATATAAGCATGAAACTTACATTGTATAGGTCAATTACCAACTCATCTGGATTTGGCGAGAAGGCACTGTTGACATACACAAACTAGAGAGGAAAGAATATATCAGTAATCACAACTCTAATGCACATTACTTCAGAATTTCAACAATTGAGAGCAATTCTTCTGTATTTTAGAATTTCAAGAAAGATAAAGGGCGTACCAATGTCTCCCTATGGAGTTGACGGCGCAAAAAATCTATTACTTTGATGAATTTGTCAGTACCTGCAATCTATGTTGATGTTTATATACAATTTGATAATTAGATGAACGCATGACAGGAAAAAGAGGACAAAAAATTGTAAAACCTATTTTTCAAATCTAGGAAGTACAGCTTTGTATCTTTGATTGGATACAATAACATGAATTCTATTGGGGAATTACTCTAAATCTATAGTAAGGGAGTATCTCAAGCCTGGTTCCAGCATAGACAAGTGAAAAACATTAAGAAACTAGATATCTTAAAACCCCCAGGGCTTCGTTCAAGTGGCAAAGGTTGATGGACTTGGTACAGAGGTAACAGGTTCGAGATCTACTGCATGCGAACTAAGCTTTTGGTATTAAGTGGATAAGCTTAGAGGGGTGGGCACATTGTCCCCAAATTTCAAAGACGGCGATTGGTCCTAAGGGCTGGCTCTAATTTCTCAGTCATAAAAAAACAATATATCTTATCTGGTCAAATGGTGTCAAACAAATTGGGACCGATGAGAGGCATACTATTGCATTACGCTAGCCAAATATGACAATAAAGAGAGTGTGCAGAGTCCATGCCAAAGATGGCTCAAATCAAATTTCAACTGACACCACATGGAATAATCTCAACTACCCTATTATTCCTCAGGCTCCCCAAAGAAAAGGACTTCTACAGTAACATCCCCATGTAAGAATTAAAAGGTGCTTCTTCCGGATAAGTGCCCCCTTTTCGTTTCCTTGAGATGATTGCAAAGGGAAGCATCTGTTTATTAATGCCATTGAGATTCTTCTTCAAGATTTTCAACAACTTAAAATATTTAATTGGACTTCAAGAATATTGAAAATCTTCATCAATTAGGGTTTGAGTCTGACTTGAACTTGTGTTCATTTGCCCTTGAAGAACTTCCCCTAAAAGGCCATAGATATTCTTGTCAGCTCCACCAATCAAGATCACCTCCCTCATATACTAGTTCATCTTCAGGGCATCCAACTACTCACTCATTTGCCGCATTAATATTATCCAAGGCAATTGCATCAATGGTATCACGAGCATCATAACAACGTTTCAATTATACACTAGATCATTGAGACGCGATAGCGCAAGCCTATTTCTCTTTTTGGAATGAATCTGCGTATCAGTTGTAGAGATTAATTAATAATATAGAAAACCGCCTTCTTACATGTTCAAACACACTCCAATTCGATGAGCTGCAAGTTAGACCAAATACTTTCATGGCAAACTTTTGCAAGGTTTGAGTTTGACTATCATTCAACTATATATTTTTTTAAGGTTAATAAGTATAAATAACTTGGATAAAGCTATAAAGAATTAAAACAACTCACTTACTCGGTGACCTTGAGTCTCTGGGAGACTGACCACAACCAAACATATCATCTGCATTTTTGTACTTAGGAAGCTCAGTGACTAATATATCTTGTTATACTGGGCTTCATCTTCTAAACACATCTATAATAATCCATCCACACTTTTGAATCTGAAATGTCATTTTCCTAAGCAGTATAAAACAACCTTGGATTCAAAATATGACTTGTTGCCTGCAAAGGCCAATGGAGTCCACCGCAAATAATTTCAAACACCTTCTCATATTGCCTCTAAACTCCACCTAAAACTTGTTCAATTATTTCCTTGGCTCTATCCATTGATTCATGAATGAACCCATTGGTGGGGTTTTTCCCCATCCACCAAAGAAGAACTTTCATCAAAGGACCACAGGCTATAAGTGCCCTAACAATACCATTCCAAAAGTCTGCAAAAATAGGATGGTTGGCAACTTTTTTCCCCAAAATAAATCTACTTGAAGTCCATTCGGTTGGGAGGACTAGAGTTCTCAAGTTTTACTTTTGTACATATGTAGTTTGGAAAGACCAGGGTCGTTGCAAATTTTGTCTCGACCAGTTTCACCAAATTTCTTTCATAGGTGAATTTTCTTATCAAGTTCAACAACGATCTTTGACTAATGTAAGAATGGATCTTGACGGCCTTCTTAAAAGTCGTAGAAGTAATATTATAGTAATTAGTAGCTAATAAGTATTAACTATAAAGAAAGTTAGAGGATATGGAAGATATTACCTGAAGCATATGGGTCAATCTTGAATATGTCACCAAACATCAAATTGATGCAATGAGCAGCACATGGAGTCCAATAAATGTGTGGGTACCACCTATCATCATGTCACCCGCTTTAACATTCTCACTAGCATTATCAGTGACGACTTGTACAACATGTTCCGATGTACATTTTGGTAAAATCGATAGATTTGTCGCTCGCATCAACAGAGCCAAAAAAACACACAATCTATTGGAGGATTCAACAAAATATTCATGATCATTTTACCATTTTGTGTCGTTCATCATAATGGAACATCCAAACTTTCTCCATGGGATTACAGGCATGCTTTGTTTGTGGGTTTACTCCCAGGCACGTTTCCCAATGAACTTTCTCTTTCCTACTTTCTAGGACTGCAGAAGCCCACTTTTCCGGTAGGAGCTGCCGGAATCCAAACCCCTTTCTTTCAAGCCAACAATAATCACCCACTGTGACTTGCATAAACCTAGATCGTAGGATGGAGGAGAATAGAATTTACTTCAACGCAGGTTTCAAATCATTCGATATAACCAGATGGATCACGGGAAAGTCTGAATGGTACGAATGGGTTGAAAGAAGCCGGAAGATGATGCAAAGATCAGTTATGAGCAAGAAGTCTATGGAATGGATCTGCTCCTGTCTGAAAGAAGCTTCAAAGGAACAAAAGAAGGAGATTAGGAGGTGGAAATTCTCAGAGCAAGGAGCAGAACACTTCTGTACAAGGAAACAAAATGGATATGGGAAATTTATAAGCATAATATCTCTAAATAGTGGGGGAAGGTCATGTTTAATTATTCCTGAGCTTGCATTGAATGCAGGGTGGCTGGACATAGCATTTAAGATTGAAAGGTTTATTAAATGCCACAGAAAGGAGGACACACCTTTCTGTAGGGTGACTGAGGATGACTACCCGTATGTAGAGGCTGTGCAAGAAAGTAGATGGGGGAGTAGAAATTTAAAAAGGGCCGAGATTAATAGCAGCAAAGGAGGAATCCAGATAACCAAGTCAGTGAATATCCAAGAGGAAGACCTCCTCAAGAGATGCCTGATAGGATACTGCAGTGAAGATTTGAAGGAAAAACCAACTCTTGCGGATATTAGAAAGTGGGTTTCAGCAAACTGGAAAAAAGTATTTGGTGTTAACATATACGAATTGAATAGAGAGACATTCTTGTTTGAGTTCCCTAATAGATACATGGCGGAGCAAACCATACAAGGTCAATGGAGGTGGAAGAACAACAGATTCCAGCTCGACTGGTGGAGCCCAACAACAGGATGCATCCCCCACACTACCTCTGTGAGAGAAACATGGATTAGAGCAGTGGGGATCCCCCTACATCTGTGGTCCAAGAAGATATTTAAAGAAATAGGGGAATTATGCGGAGGATGGAGTGCAACAGAAGAAGAAACGGAGCTTAAAAACCACATGAAATGGGCGAAAATCCTGGTGAAGAACGATGGAAGAAATCTGCCGAGGGAGGTGTCTATTTCCTGTGATGGGATCAAATATTACTTCCCTATTTGGGTGGAGAGCAAACCAAGGTTTGAATTGCTGCCGGAAAGTGATAGGGAAACTGCCGGAGAAGAGGACGAAGCTTTTTGCCCAGTTAATGACTTTACACAGGGGACAGAAGCTGCATACAACTGCAATACAGTACAAAAAACCCTTTTTAGGGATTTTGGTACAACTCAGCACGTGGGCTCTGTGTTGACAGCTGGAATGTCTAGTGCAAGTGGGTCACATGAGCAGCATGTGTGTTTTTTAAATGAGAAATTGGATTTGGGCCTTATTCAAAAGCCCAAAAACCATCAGATGTTTAAAGGATCCAAAGGCCCAGACTATGCAGCTCAAGTCATTTTTAATGACTTACAAGGAGGAAAGCCTGACCAATCAGAAGCCCAGAAAGAACAGGGATTTGCCTACGACATCGAAGCTATGCAGGCAATTATAACAGTCGCACCAGAGAAGAGTACATATGCGAACGTTGTCACGATGATATCTGAAGATGAAAATAGGGGAACTGCGATGGCTACGGGGAAAGAAATTCACCATTACAATGACAGGAATGGTATCGGCAGTAGCACAGAAACAGAGGGGAATGAGCTAGTGTTACAAAATTCAAACACAGAAATTGTTGATTGGGAAGTGGAGGAAGCCGAGCCAATTCTGCAGCAACAACAAAATTCCTCTTGGGTGCAACAGAATCTGATCAAACTGGGGAAGATCTTTGGAATTGATTTCCATGGACATGAAGAGGAGGCCATAGAATTACTTCTCCAGATAGATAGTTGCAGACAAGCGAGAAGAATGGAACAAGGCACTGAAGTTAAAAAGAACAAAATCAAAGGTGCACAAGAGCTTAAAAGTCTTGTCTCATTTGATGTAAAATTCAAAAGCTCAGGGAATAGGAACAAGGGGAGGAACACCACTCTAGTTACAAGATGAAGTTTAAACTAGTATCGTGGAATGTCCGGGGATTGAACAATAAGGAGAAGAGGGAGACTGTCAAAAGCTTAATTTCCGAATGGAGGGCAGACATCATCTGCCTCCAAGAAACTAAGCTTGCGGGGAATATTACAGAAGTAGCAAATCAGATTTGGGGAGGTAGATGGATCAGACACGCTTGTCTGGAAGCTAGTGGAACAAGAGGCGGAATCATTTTGATGTGGGATGAGAGGGCATGGAAGGGGGAGGTCTTAGAAATAGGAACCTACTCCATTACTTGTAGTTTTGAATCCCAAACACAGAATTACAATTGTCACATAACTGGAGTGTATGCTCCAAATGACTACATGGAGAGGAGACTAGTGTGGGAAGAATTGGGTTCAGTAAGGGGATTATTTGAAGGGCCCTGGGCACTGTGTGGAGATTTCAATGTTTCAAGGTATATATCGGAGAAGAAAAATTGCAACAGTAGAACAAGGGGTATGA